ATCTGTGATAACTGTGATTGATTCTGATATTTGCACTTCATTGAGCTAATGCTATAATTTTTGTGTTGTATATGTTGTTTTTTATTCTTTTTTTTTTTTAATGTTCTATAATTTTGTTCAATTAGTTGTCTTTATAGATTTTGGACTTTTTGGTTTTGGTAGATAATTTTTTTTGCTGTCATATTTTTCTTTTTTTGAGCGGTTGATCAGAATTTTACTCTCTAAATGCTTGTCGAGCACAATTTCAGTGAGTATTTGAAGAAAAAATATTATGTGATTTTTATGAAAATGAATATTTAAGATTCGCCTAGTCTACTCTTAATTTCTTGAATATATCGTGTATATACTGAATTTTTCTTTGGATATTATTTACACTATGTATATAAAGTCTTGTATTTACCTGAGTAGAAACTAAAATTCCGCCAACAAATTTTAAATTATTAAACTTGGTATTTTTTTTTAAATTTTTTTTAAGAAGCCAATATAGATTAATTTCGAATATCCAAAATATTTTAATTTTATTTTAGGGTATTTTACATTTGTTATAGAAACAAATTTACCTATAATTTTCTTATAAATAAAGATTGGCCCTTAATAAATATCACAGCCGCAACATTCTATATCTGTTGCAATTAATATCACTTAGCTGCGACATTCCATATATGAAATTGACTACAGATACTCTCATCAATTTATTGCACATATATGTTCACATGTTAATATAATCCACTCAACTTTAATTATTAAATAGAATGTTATAATTATTTTATTATACAATTAATAAATATATTTCACATAAATATATGTACAATAAATTAAAAATGGACAAAAGTACATGTTTTAAAGACGTCAATTAAATAATACAAGTTAGAAATCTAGGATTACTATTTAATCTATGCTAAAATTAAAATGTAAATGTATTCTAAATTTAAAGAAAAATTATAAAATTATGAATTTTGATAATACGAAATTTATTTAAATAAACATGATATATCATGAATTAAATTGGTTGATATCTTCTCACAATATTTATTTATTTTTTAAAGTTAATAATTTACCTATTTTTTAACAATCAATATTTGAATTTAGCCTTGCCTGACGCACGCGTTTCCCCATAAATAATATAATTTTGCCTTAACGGCCATTCATATTGAAATTAATAGCCATGATTTCTTATTTCAGAAATGGAAATCACAAATGACTTCTTGGACTTTACCTTTGGCCCGAAGAAATTCCACAAATGTTGTGTCTATGCTTCTTCCCGCCAATACACGACAAGAACTAGGGAAATGGCCCGTTTTTCAGATTTTAAATGGTACAAATCTATAATTACATTAAAAAATGGGGGTATTTTCGTCTTTTCAAGTCCAAAATTAAGGGTAAAATGGTCAGTGCCGTTCTCGGATTAAATTGTCCGATGGGGAAGCTGGTATAGATTTAATCGGCCAATAGCTAATATACATGTGGGACCCGCAACACTTGTGTTGTGCCACCTCACAGAAATCTCATTCCAATCCCTTAGGGAATCCACATCGTCGCATTAAAGACCCTTGTTTAATGATTGAATGAACGCGCTATGCGTTGTGGGCGTTCAGTTTTGCAGTTCTGTAGTGGGGCCCAGTGTTTGTTCAAGAAGCTGAACGCTTGTTCAGCCTGTTTTCCTATTTTTTTTTTTTTGTTTTAAAATGTTACTTTATTAAAAGCATGCACCATGCTTATTTTTTTTATTTTATTTTATTTATATTAAAGTAAATATTTATTTAACTCTTTTTCTTTTTTTTTTTTTATATATATTTTATTTATTTTTTATCTATATCACACTTTCCAATACATATAAATTCAAATTTTATCTATATCACACTTCCCAATATGCATCAATAATTTACATTTTTTATCCCAATTTTTGCCTATAAATACACTTCAGTTTCTCACTTCTCTTGCACCAAAAAATTTCTCACTTCTCAAACACCAGAAAATTTAGCAACTATTCATTTTCCTAAAAAAATGGATCCGAATAACAGACAAAATTTTCAAAATTTCTCAAGTTTTAATCCTAGCAATCCAGATGAAAATCCATTCTTCCAAAATTCACAAACTCCGCCGAATTTACCATTTTCACAAACTCCTCATCCTGCACAATTTTTCCCACAATTTCCGTCTAATTTTCCTTTTATGCAACAACAATCCCAAAATTATCCAAATTCCACCAATATTCAATATTCACAATATCCTCTACAATTTATATTTCAAAACCCACCGCCTGAATATTGGCAATACATGAGTAGTAAAAAATCTGGTGCAATCTTCTCCGCAACAATCGAGTCAATTTTTCGGATCCCAAATGAGGAAAGAACCTGATACTCAAACATACGTTCCAGAAACATAATTCCAGGATCGTGAAGCAACTATTAATGTTGAAATCCCAAAAAACACATGTGTTGTTGCTGAAGGTCGGAAAAAACGTCCACAATGGACAAAGGAAGAGGATGTGCAATTGGCAAAAGCTTATGTGACAATAAGTGACGATCCAATTACCGGTAATGATCAGAAGAGCTCAGCGTTTTGGGTACGTGTTGCAAATTATTATAACGAAAGTACACCTACTAACTATATTCCCATAAATGCTAATACAATAAGATCTCACTAGCATAATACGACTTTTGGATAATGGATCCTGCATATGTATTTAAATGAATGAGTAAGAATGTAGGTGTCTGTTTAAATAGAGAGAGATTTAGTGGAAAGATGATGTGGAAATGATGTGAATGAGGAGATAGTGTTACTTTTGATTGAATGAATGATTTTTTTATTTTTAGGGATGTGAATGCCCTTAAAGTAAACACATGTTAATCCAAGACAATTTTAATTATCATGTCCGTCACACCAAAGTAAACCACGCCCAAGTGATTGTGTATTCAATAATGTAAAGAGCCAACAGTTGGATCCGTTACGGAGCCAACAACCAATGAGACAACTCCATGTGGGGCTGTCCCACAATACTTTAATGTGGGACAGCCCCACATGGAGTTGTCCAATTGGTTGTTGGCTCCATAACAGAGCCAACTGTTGACTCCTTAGCTTTACTGGTGTGTATTTCATTCAACAATGATAACTCATTCGACTCCGTTACTCATAGGGGGTGTAGGTGAAATCAATGCTCTAAAAGAAATCTTACAGTTTTATTGTCATTATTATCTTAGTCAAAAACAAAAGAGAAATGAAGGGGAAAAAAAACCAAGCCAAAAAAAAAAAAACAAAAAAAACTACATATTTCAAATGCATCATTAACTACCTAATCATAGTAAAACAAATATTAAAAACTTACATTAAATCAGACTCCATTAATTCATAGTGGTGTAGGTGAAATCAATGATATAGAAGTCATACATTTATTATAGTCATTATTATCTAGTCAAAAACAAAAGATAAATGAAGGGTAAAAAAACCCAAGCAAAAAAAAAAAACAGTGTACATTATAAGTAGGAGTGAGCATCGGTGCGGTTCGGTCAAAAACCGCACCACACTGAAAAAACCGAAAACCGAATCTTTAAAATTTCTTCACCCAACCGCACCGCAATAGAAGAAAAAACAAAATTGAACCGAACCGAAAATTCGGATCGGTTCATTGCAGTTTTTCAATTAACCGAAATTAAAAAAGATAACAATCAATTGATACTACCTCTTATTCTTTTTAAATGTCATTTTGGCATTATAAACTATTAACAAAATAAATGTCGTTTTGGATATTTTGTACTCCCTCCTATTCAAAATAAATGTCATTTTGAGAAGTGACACTGTAATTAAGAATACTTTTGTTGTCAATAATAACCTTATTTAATGAAGATAGAGATGAATGTTTGAGAAAAGATGAAGAGTGAATATGAAAAGACGTAGTGTATTTATTGACTAAATAAGGGTAATAGTGGAAAAAACATGTACCAAATACCCAAAACGACATTTATTCGGTTAATAGTTGATAAAGCCAAAATGACATTTAAAAAGAATAGGATGTAGTACATTTTTTTCTATTATTACCCTCATTTAGTTAATAAATACACTACGTCTTTTCATATTCACTTTTCATCTTTTCTAAAAACATTTATCTCTATTCTCATTAATGAGGGTTATTATTGACAAAAAGAATATTCTTAATAACTGTGCAACTTCTCAAAACAACACTTATTTTGAATAAGAGGGGAGTATAATGTAAGTAAAAGCGTCAAAATTAAGGTGATACTTTATTAAAAAAAAGTGACATTTTATGACATTCGGTGCGGCTTGGTTAAAACTGCACCATTCGGACAAAAAATTGAACCGAACCGAGATATTTGCGGTTTTTCAAAATTCAAACCGCACCAATAACCGAACTCTTAAAAAACCGCACCGAATAGCTCGGTTCGGTGCGATTTTTAAATTTCGGCTCGGTTTTGCTCACCCCTAATTCCAAGTGCATCATTAACTACCTAATCATACTAAAACAAGGAGTATTAAAAACTTACATTAATTACAACTCCATTCAACCCGATTCATTAATCATCATTATTTGTTTAATGCTTTACTAAATCCACTGTCATTAATCTATTCCATTTTTTTTTTTTTTTCATTCAAAATCAAATCCAATTCTCTCCCCAATTTCTATTTCTGTTAACTGTCATCATCAATCCCTCTTTATCCCCTTTTTTTTTCACCATTTATCGTTTTCTCTTTAATTTTGCACCAAAGCCAGTAAAAAAATAAGTAAAGAAGAAGAGAAGAATAGAGAAGAAAAGAAGCTAGAAAAGAGCTTCTCAACTCAAAAAGGCCAAAAAAAAAAAAAGAAAGAAAGAACGAATTTTTATGTGATTTCATTCATTCCCATCTCTGTAGTCTCCTATTTCAAGAAAATCCAAGGAAGCCCATCAGATTGGAATCAAGAACAAGAAAGGAAAAAATTTGTTTTTGTTTTTGTTTTTGGTTTTTTCTCTCAAATCTGCAAAATCCATTTTTTTTAACAGGGCTTAATGTTCCAAATGAAGCACATTGATGGCGGCCCTTCAACGCCGGGCAAATTCAAGATGGAAAAATCGTCTTACAATCGGCTCAGGCTACAATCATCCCTAGCCAAGCTCACTTTCTGGTCCTTCCTGTTCATGGGCTTCATCTTCGTCTTCTTTTTCAAATCGCCATCGTCGTCGTCGTCCTCCTCCTCCTCCTCGTCTCCCTCAGATCCCTCCAGAAGGTTCCTTCGCACCAGCGCCTACGCCGGTCCCGAATTCGAGAAGCGCGTCCGCGACTCCGCCAGAATCCGGTCCGGACACGGGATCTCCGTCCTCGTCACCGGCGCCGCCGGTTTCGTCGGCACCCATGTTTCCTCCGCCCTCCGCCGCCGCGGCGACGGCGTCGTGGGCCTGGACAATTTCAACGACTACTACGATCCCGCCCTGAAACGGGACCGCCAGTCCCTCCTCGAGCGCAGCGGGATTTACATCGTCGAGGGCGACATTAACGATTCCGGTTTGCTGTCCAAGCTTTTCGACATCGTCAAGTTCACCCACGTCATGCATCTGGCGGCTCAGGCCGGCGTGCGCTACGCCATGGAAAACCCTAGCTCGTATGTCCACAGCAACATAGCGGGCCTCGTCACCCTTCTCGAGGCCTGCAAGAGCGCAAACCCTCAGCCCGCAATCGTGTGGGCCTCGAGCAGCTCTGTCTACGGGCTGAACACAAAAGTCCCGTTTTCCGAAAGAGACAGGACGGATCAGCCTGCCAGCCTGTACGCTGCCACCAAGAAAGCCGGAGAGGAGATTGCGCACACGTACAATCACATTTACGGGCTCTCCCTGACCGGATTGAGGTTCTTCACGGTATACGGGCCTTGGGGCAGGCCCGATATGGCCTACTTCTTCTTTACCAAGGATATCCTAAAAGGGAAGTCAATTCCAATCTTTGAGGCTGCTAACCACGGCACGGTGGCTAGAGATTTTACCTACATTGAGGATATTGTTAAGGGCTGTTTGGCTGCATTGGATACGGCCGAGAAGAGTACGGGCAGCGGGGGCAAGAAGAAGGGCTCGGCCCAATTAAGGGTTTACAATCTGGGGAACACTTCGCCTGTGCCCGTGTCGGATCTTGTGAGCATTTTAGAGAAGCTGCTTAAGGTGAAGGCTAATAGGTCGATCATGAAGCTGCCTAGGAATGGTGATGTGCAGTTTACGCATGCAAATATAAGCTTGGCACAAAGGGAGCTCGGGTATAAGCCCACCACTGATTTGCAGACGGGATTGAAGAAGTTCGTCCATTGGTACTTAGGTTACTATGTGAACAAGAAGAAAAGCATGCAGTGATACGGTTTCATGAAAAATTTGCGTGGTAGGATCAAATATCCTATTCCTTTGTTACATTCTTGTGATTGTTTTTCTTTTTTCTTTTTTTGGACATATCTTGTTTATACTCCTAAAATCCCAATTATCATGCTTTCTTATTTCTTGATGACACCATATAAGGAGTGGTCGTGATCCGATGTTGAAGAGTTGTTCTTTTTTCTTTTTTCGATGGTGGGCATTACTTGCAGCGGTGTGTTAATCATCTGCATTGAAGGACAAAAAACCAACTCTGGGCGCCTCGTGGTTGTAATTGTTGTATTTTTATCATTTGTGTAGAATTCAAGCCTGATAGAAAACAAAGATTTACCAAATGATGGACATGGATAATTTTAATACAATTTGAATAAAAAATTATCTGGTCTTATTCTGATGGGTACATGATTTTATGTTGATTTGTTTGCTTACATTTGTTTGTCCTGTAATAAGAGCACAGGCGCACACGTGCTTGCGTTGGTCAAAGATATGATTTTTGTGGACTTTTAGTTTTGAAACGAATCTTAGTTTGACTTTGCGAAGCTAGATCCTAGGTTTGTAATAATGTCCTTTTTTTCCGGTCAGCACGCTCATTATCTTGTTCAGGATCAAGTAATAAACGAGCATGTGGTGGTCATTGATTTAGTATTATATCTCGCTATGAATATTTACCTTAGATGGGGTTACGAATATATAGTTGCCAACCATTTATCATAGCTGTGGTTTGATTAATGAATTCCATATTTGGTTGCTTTTAGCAGAAAGTTCACATTAAGTGTAAAAGTCGAAAAAGATGTTGCATTATCTTGTGAATTGAATATCGAATATCATCGTAAATGAAGTGAATCAAAAAGGCGTACGTTGTAGCATGAGAGGGGAACTTGTTTAGAATGATGAGAGGGAAACTTGTTTAGAATTTAGGCAAATTAGGTTTATGATATATCCATGTTCTGTTCTCGACTCTGAAACTCAATATATAGCGACATAATTTGTGGCATGTTAGAGCTGTTTCTGTTTTATTCAATAGTTTGAGAGGACTGCTGAAAAAATGGCGAGCTATTATTATAGATCCATTCGAAGGTGCAATTTTCTTGGTTTTCAAAGTGTGCATGTAGATGTTTCTAGTTACTCCCAAGTAGTTTTAAGTGCTTGTGCTCTTTATAGATGACGTTTTCGAGTTTTCTTTTCTAGATTTTTGTAGATGACGTTTGTAGTTACCTCGTATGGGAGGAGGTGCTTTAATTTTGGTGCGTGGAGCTAAAACATAGCATTTTTTTTTATTTTTTTTTTCATTTTTTTCCTTCTTCCATTTTTTGCTATCTGTTTATCGTGACGCTAAATTTATTTCGTTCGCATGATCTATTTATTGCTCCTTTAGTTCTTTGAAGTTGGAATATTAGCGTAAAATGGCTGCTCATTACTCATTAGGAATACCGAGTAAATATCTATATTCCGGTTTTCAACTAGCTAGCTCAGTTTTATTCTGCTAAAGATAATTGTTTCTGAATTTACACCGTCTGTACATGAGAAATGGATATTTTTTTTTTTTTTCTGGAATGGAATGCAGGTTTGTCGCTGTTCTAAAGTACAAATTTTTTTCGCATCATTTTCATTTTCTTACTTTTCTTTGTGATGCATAGTTTCATGTAAGTATTTACGAACAACAGAAAAAGTTCGTTCCAGATTTTCTGTCGGTGGAGCATGAAGATCACGAGGATCTCCATTTTTACATTTTTTCTATTTTTCAGTCGCTATTCGTTAATGTATTGTCGGTCTTTTTTTCCTTCGTTTTTTCCTCCATGAAATTTTGAGGTTATGTCGACAGTTTTGCGGTCGTTAGAAAATGTGTTTGTCTTCCATTTCTTTTCGTGCTAAGAAATGCATCACCCCTTTTTACTCTTACATTTCTGCTAATGCCTTTATTTTAACAACCTAGCAATTGATGATGAAGTTGCAGCTAGCTATGGTGATATAGCTGGCCAGTTCAGGTTCATGAGTTTTGACAATTTGAACCTCCGATTCTGAACCCAAACCACAACTAGTGGTTCGGAGAATATTTTTTTTTTAAATATATTTTAATTATTTTTTTTTAATTTATTGGTTTGGCCAGAAGTCGGTGGGCCAGTTCTGAAAACCGACCCGTATATATTATCGAGCAGGTTCAAGGCCCGAAAAAAGCCGCTAGAGTCTGGATTTGGACAAGACTAATTGACTATTTATGTCTGAGTTATTTGTTCGTTTATGTAACAAGGTTAAAAATGTCGGGGTCATTTTTTTGTAGTTTTTATCAAATGGTCTGTGATATATAAGGTAATTCAATCTAAAAAACCGACATTTTTACTGTAGTTTACTACTTTTTGAATATTTTTTTTTAGAATACAACATTTAAAATAAAACTATATATGATGTAACTTATAAACAAGTTATAATTAATAAAAATAAAAAATTCTAAAACAATTATAAAAGTAGACCATGAATCAACCACATATAAACTATAAAAATTAGTACATATATAATTAAAAATAAAACTTCTTAAATGTGCAAATAAATAAAGATTTGTAAATGAATTGTGTAATTTTCTGTAGATTTATTCAATTGATTCTTAGACTTAGGTGTGATTGGATATGAAATTTTTTCAATTATATTTTTTCTTCGTAAATAAAACTGAGAAAATTGAATAAAAAAAAATGTTATTCAAGAAAATGAGATTTTGTGGTTATAAAAGATGAGATATAATGATTTGAGTTTATGCAGTTTATAAATTACAAAATATTAATGAACAATGTTTTTTAACAGTCAAAAATACGTAAGTAGATAATACCTTTACAAAATTCAAGATTTTTTCAACTTAATTTCATTTTAAAAAGGAATAGGCTCTCTCTTTGGCCAAGATTCTATCTTCTGGAAGTACTTCACAGGCACAGCTCCATCAAAACCCTCTGTTAAAATCACCTTGTTGTCCGATATATACAGCTTCATTCCCTCTGTTAGTAGGAAAAACGAGAAAATTAGAAACAATGCCACCCAAAAAGAAGTAAATATTTTGTTATTTCATGATTCGTACCTTCCAAAGCCTTTCTCGTGTCGAGAAAGATTAAGACGTTAACATCTCGTCTCATACCTGAAGAAGAATGTCGAGGTTATTAACACGGATTATTTATCAAACAAGCTTATGTCCAACGCACTAAATGAATATATACAAAATCTTTGTAAATTTCAAATACCTGCTTGAATTTCTTATTTCGTAACCTATCTACCGAAGTGCAGTTTGTGAAAGAGAAACAAATACATTGATGAAACAAATGAGGGGTTATGATATAATTCCACTAAACCTCAGCCGTACAGTTATATAATAAGCTATAAAAGAAATGACAGATCGTATCATGTTGTATGATCATTAAAGATCTTACCACTAATAACTTCTCCATCGGTTGGCAAGCCACAAGAGAAATGCACGTGTAATCTCTTCATGCGCTTGAGACCCCCTCCAAGAATTGACTCCAAGTTTTTCATGTAGGTCCCATGCACGCAGACTGATCGTAACCATGCATTAAAGGAAACTACCTTCAAAGGATGTAAAAAAGAAAAAAGAAAAAAAAAAGGATCCCAAATCTCTTTTTAGAGAACGAAAGGAACAAAATTAAAAATTATAACCTGGAACTTCTTCAGCTGAAAGTATAGGTTTAAGCAAGCTCTCCGTTTCAACTGTCTGTCCAAATCATACAGAACAAATAGTAGAAATTATTATTTCAGAAAAACATGAAAACATGAAACGCTAAAAACCTATAAATAAATTAAAGACTTAGCCTCTTGAAATGATTTAAAGACAGCGGTGCATATAAAGGTCAACTAGGGAAAGTGAGTTCAATTTTACAGCTCATTGATGGCAGAGAATGTCATCCTGCTGAGAAAAATATATGGAAAAGTGAAAACATTAACAGCACCAGAACATTTTACATAACAAGGTGATAACTCGACTCCTTTCCCTTTAGATACTAAAACAGTAATACATACTGCGTTAATTGCAAGAGACAAAAGTTCAACAACCTGTATAGTGTGGCCTTGATTCGCACGTATTAGAAGCTCCCCATTGTCTTCCAATATACTAAACCGCTGCTTGTTATCCCTTCTGACAGCCTATAAGAATATTATAAATTACAATTAAGTATTTCCAAGCATAAAAGCAAGAAAACCAGCACCAAATGACATTTGCATTAATTAAGTTCGGAAATGTGTAGCCGCGTCACAAAACATGGAAGGATGTTTCCTTCTACTTTTTCGCCAATCACAAGTATATAGGTGATCATAGGTGATCACTTGCATGCAAACATTTCACAAATAAATTTTAGGATTCGAAGGTACGTAAATACATGATCGCAATATTTTTCTAGGGAAGGAAAATGAAAGACGATCACAAACATTGACCAAATAACATATAAGTATCGAACATCCAATCTTAACAAGTGCAAGACGTCAAACCTCTTTAACTTCATCGATTGTATGAGATCGAAGTGGTATATTAGCAAAAGTCTTCAGATTCAACTTCAGAAGGTCTTGGACCTTGACATATCCATCACTCCTCATTTCCAAATTCAACTCTGAAGCCATGTGTCTCAGTATACGCGTTCTGCAGTATTAATATGAATTGTAACTAGGACAACATCTCCATTCAATTAGTTACAAACATCGAGAGGCTAGCATCGATTTCACATTCGAAATAACCAAGAATTGATGAAGATCGACTAAACTAAAGGAGATTTGAGAAACGTCATTTTCCAGCAAAAGAAAATCATAACTATTGCAAAACAAGAGCAGTTTAATACTTCAAAATAGTTGATAGATTCCTTCAGGTCAGCACCACCAACAGTCCATCCACAAAAACTCTAACCCTTATTAGTCCATAAACTGAATTCACCCTTCGGCAATCAAAATTTAATGTAAACAGAAAAACACGAAAACATATATGTTCATTCTCTACAAATAGGATCATTTTGTTCTCCAATCATCCCTGTAATTGTAAAAGGCAATGATAATGTGCTTACAGTAATCTGCCAAGAGCATCGATTTTGTCATTCCCAGAAGAACTTCCGCCTCTTGATCTCCGGCGATTATCTTTCATCCCCAATCCTCCGCCTCTACTCTCACCACCACTACAGCCACCAATTAATTTCACAACAAAATATTTGAACGAAAAAAGAAAAGAAAAAACGCAGACATAAGAATAGCAGAAACTGCTTGCTCAACCAGTACTCCGCCGTAAAAAGCGAAAAAAAATCCGGCGGAGGATTGAGAAAAGAAGGGACTACCTTCTGCTAGAATGGGCCGATGCGGTGAAAGAGGATTTGCCGGCGTAGGAACTGTTCGGACTCGCCATGAATGTCGAAATTCGTAATCTGGAATGCAACAGAGGATTAGGGCGGAAGAAGACGGGCGGCGGCGAGACAAGGCGGTTGCAGAAAACCCTTAAGCCGGCGCCGGTGAAGGAAGCCAACATCTTATAACTTATAAGCTGTGACGGATTAGCCGTTGTGACTAGTGACGGCTTTCCGGGTCGGGTGGATTTAAGTCACACCGGATATTCGAAAAATGATTTAATTTTTTTTTTTCCAAATATGTCCGCGGATAATTGTGATATATAATTTTTTTTTTTGGTACAGGGACCTTCCGATTTTAGGATCCACAGGGGAATCGACTAATCCGGAATCGAGTCGGGTTGTGATATATAATTTAATCTAATTGTTATCATTATATTTACACTTTATATTATAAAATAATTTAATATTCAGTTATCATATTTAGATACAATATATCTAAGTTTACCAATCTTCATAAATATCTATTATCATATTTTATAAGTTATTAATAAATTTGTTCTTTTCATTTGTAAATATATATATATTAATACTTTAATTTTTCTTTTTCCATCACCAATTCTCTTTATTTACTCTTGTTATTTCCATCACCAATTCACTCAACAGAACTGGTAATTTTAGCAATAGCATATTGCATGTTAATTTTTTTAATATTATTTATTTGATTTTTAACGATTCTAAACTCCAAGAATTTCTCGATTAATTTTGTAAAAATATTAAATAATTTGCAACGCTTTTAAACATATTAATGTTAAATAGTTGATAATCTATATATATATAATAATACAACATAAATTATATTTGTGTGAGACGATCCAACTGTTAGACAGGTCGACCCGTCATACTTCAACATCATTGTCATTCTAGCACCATGCACACAAAAATTAATAAATTAAAAGTGCAATACAAGATTTCGACACAACGTACATAGAAATTAAA